CCCACCCCCCCCCCCCCCCCCCCCCCCCCATAGACTTACCTGCAAGGAACTGCTGTGCAGGCTGCCTGGCTGTGTTTCTGGTCACATGCATGTGTTGTGGGCATGCACATGCATGCAGCACACCCCTGCATCCTGCTCCTGGCAGCCCCTTGCAGGCTGGAATGCTGCCAGCCTGCAAGGGGCACCCCACCATCATGGGCAACTGGTTCCACCTTAGTCAGGGGGGGCACGTGCCCTCCCAGTGACCAGGGGGTCCCCCTGCGGCCAATCTCACTGGGGGGGGTGGGCCATGGCTGCTCCCTGCCTGGCACTTGCAGGGGGGGCACTGGTGCTCCCGCCTGCCCCCCTCCACCCGTCGCCTAAGCGGTGAGCGTGGCTGGTCAGGGGGTGCATGTGTACTCCCATACATCCCCTATGCGTTGCCAGTGTCCACCGCTTCCTGTGGATCCCTGTACGGCACTGCAAATCCAGGACAAATTCTGTCCCTGAGTTGTGTAGCCCGGGACCAGGACTTGAGGTTCCCACCCAGTTAGGGACAGATGGTCACCCTATACCGGATACTGATCTTTATACTAGACTAAAAGCACTGTGCAGAAAGTGGTATTCCAGATGGGCCCCTGTAAAACAATAGAAAACTGCAGGAGAGAGACTAAACACTAAGCAAGAGATGCAGGGTTTATTTAGCTGGACTTGGGCTCTTGTCATCAAGTAATGCATCTTCCAACAAAGCAGCTGTCACCCTGTTCATGTAATTAAAGCAGGAGGTTAGAGGTTCTTTTTACCCAGCCAAATACCTGTCACAATATACAATCTAGATTGTGTGCTTAATAAGCACGTGGTGCCCTCCTTTAACTAGTCATGTCTCTGCTGGTAAACCATTCTATTAAATTACAAGCTAAATGCTGAGTTAAATGAGAATTATATTTAAGCATCTGTGTAAAATGGGCAACTTAAAATTGGTTCCTAAAACAAATACTGTGCAAGTTTCATTATAGGTATTGTGCATGTAAACTGTAAACCCTAATGTCTAAAATTTTAAACCAAAAATCCAGGGAGACTTAGAAAGCTAAAGTTATACCTCCAGGTTCAACCATAACTCGGTTATATTTTAATTCTGTATTATTATTTTTTACGTTTAATGTCCTTGGGTTTCTTTGATATTAAAAAAATTAATAAATAAAAATGTATTGCCCATTTGAGTGAATTAGGTATTTGTATCCAATTCTGTCCTCAGAAGCATTTTCATCTATATATAAAAATCCTGTCTGATTTGAGCCCCATGACAAAAATGAAAGATTTTGAAATACCAACAGGAACTTTGCACCTTGATACACTATTAAAAAAATAAATAAATACTATATTTGCACAGCTTGCATCCTTCAAACATTTGTCTTCAGTGTCAGATGCCTCTGCAATACTTAAAATAACCACATACAAAGCAAGAATTTGTTAAAAATGCATCTGATTAGAGGGCAACTTTCTACTTTTTCCATATGGTGTTTTATTCAGCTGCCCAAAATACTTAATCTTTCTGTCAGGTGCTTCAGATCATGACGTCTTCCATTTAGAAAGGTATAGAGCATCTAGGAAACAAATGCAAAAAAGCAAAGTAACAAACAGAGGGCCTTAGAGCAGCTGCTCTGGTATTTTAGCACTTCATGTATGATCAGCAGGAAGCAGAAAACCGAAGACTGGATTTAGGAATGCATTTCCAAGAGCAAAGGCAATTAAAATTTGAAGAGCAGCACTGATACCTTAGTTATTTAGAAGGGCGGAGAGCTCAGAATTATCTGAAGTATCACTGCCATCTGTGTTTGGTTAATATATTTTTCCCTTGCAGGTTGTTAGAAACAAGCCAGTAGCAAGACAAGCACCTGGCAAGCGGAAATGCAATTGTCGGCAGGAGATGAGGACCACCCAGCTTGGCCCTGGGCGTTTCCAGATGACTCAAGAAGTTGTCTGTGATGAGTGTCCCAATGTCAAGTGAGTGTGAGATTTCTGCTTTGTATGAAACTGGCCACTAGATGGGGAAAGAACATGTGTGCCTCTAATAGTTGAACACTTTAAAATAACCCAATACAAATACATATTTTTTTTCTTAAATAATGCTTCTGATTTTAGAGGGCAGTTCTCCTTCTGCTTACTCAGACTGATCTATTGCTAGCTGCAGATTGGCAGAAATCAGCAACCATGAGTAGAGGTGACAGATTTGTGAAGAAGAGTGAAGCAAATATACCTCACCTGTAGCAATGGTGTTGGTTGTAGACATGTTGGTCTAAGGCAGACAAGGTTCTTTGGGTAAACTTTTTTTGGCTAAATCTGATGTCCTTTATTAGACCAAATCTGCTTATCTTTTATTAGACCAACTAAAATAAGTTAGTCTAATAAAAGATATCAGATTTACCCAAAGAGCCTTGTTAGCTGTAACAAGACTTTTGACATGGTCTCCCATGACATCCTTACAAGTAAGCTAAGGAAATGCAGTCGGGACAAGAATTACTGGGAAGTGGGTACATAACTTCTCTGGATAATCAGACTCAAAAAATAGTTGTCGAATGCTCAAATGTCTTGCTCCAAGAAGATATCAGGAGGAGGAACCCTGGGGACTGTCCTGGGCCTGGTGCTGTTCAGTATTTTATTAATGATTTGCAGCACAGAATCGAGTATACACTTGTAAATTTGCAGGTGACACCAAACTGGGGGAGTAGCAGATACTTTGGAGGACAGGATTAGCTTGAAAATGATCAATTGGAAAATGGTCTGAAAGAGATCAGAAGAAATTAAGTAAAGACAAGTACAAAATACAGCTGTTAAGATGGAAAAAGTACACAACTAATGACTGACTAGACCAGAAGTGGGCAAAATGGCGGATCCAACCAGCAGCTAGACTCCATCTCCCAGCAGCCCCTGCCCACATCACTGCAGCTGGTTTCCCTGGACACCCCAGTAGTGGCAGTGCTGTGACAGTGTATGGGCAGGGTTTCCATGGAGATTGGCCCCAGCAGTGCCGGCAGGGCACATGGCTGGGCAGGGAGCTCCTCCACAACTGGGGCTGGGATCTTGCAGTGGTGATAGCATGGTTCAGAGATGAAACACAGCCACGATCCGCTGCTTGCATGTCCCTGCCCAGGGCATGTGGGCAGTGGATCGCAGCTCTGCCCCATCTCTGGGCCACACTGTCACTGCTGCAGGATCCCGGCCCTGGAGCAGCTAACTGGGCAGCTGCCCTGCCACTCTTGGTGTCTCCATGGAAACCAACCACAGCAATGCGGGCAGGGGCTGCTGGGAAGTGGAATCCGCTATAGACTGGGCTTTGCCCATCCCTGGACTAGACTGTGTTGCTGTAGAAAAGGACCTGGGGGTTATAGTGCACCATAATTTGAATGTATGTCAATGTAGTATTCTGTCGTCGTCGTCGTCCCCCCCCCCAAAAAAAAAATCAGTTGTATACTGGGACGTATTAACAGTAGTGTCTTATTTAAAAGTCTAAGAAACATGACATGCAAGCAAAGGTTGGAAGAACTGGGATTATTTAGTTTGGAAAGAAGACAGCGCAAGGTGGTTGATTGCTAGTTTTTTAATAGAAAAAAGGCTTGTTATAAAGATAAGATGACCACAGGGGACAGGACAAGAAGTAATAGATTTAAATTACAACGATGGGAAATAAGGTTGTATAGTAAGAACTTTTTAACTATACAGGTGGTTAGGTAATCCATTCTAGCGCTTAGAGAGGTTATAGAATCGCCATCATTTAACCTGTACATGAAAACTTCTGAATTCTCAGGACAAATGTTTGGACAGAGACAACGGTGCCTTGAGGAGGTTCAGATAAGATGTCCCTTTCAACTTTGTGTTTTTTTCCCTGTTTCTCTCTTGGGTAGAAGATGTGTATATATATTTTTTTTAATCTTGGCTTTCCAGCCTCATTCTCCCTGGACTAATCCTCAATTCAAATAGGTTATTTTTCATTTGTGGCATCTCTGGATCCTGAGGTAGTTTCAGTAGCTTACACTTTGCAGCTTTATAATGGTTAGCCATAGAAGTAAGAAAAAGGCAATGCTTCTTTGAACACTAGGCAAACTGGAGTGCAGTCATGATGTGAGCAGTTTGAGAGAAGCTGTGGTTAACTGTGGGAGCAGTCCTTAATAGTCTGATAAAATGAAATAAGAATTGCCAATGTGAGCAGTCTTCTGCCTGCTGTTCCTCTCATCTCCCACTTGATTTCCAGGCTTGTGAACGAAGAACGAACATTGGAGGTGGAGATAGAGCCAGGTGTGAGGGATGGCATGGAGTATCCTTTCATTGGAGAAGGTACAATAGTAGCTGCTGCTATGCTTTGTTCTGCTTGTGCTATTTCCCTGGCTATACTGGGATCATGTCTAGCAGTAAGGATCCTTGGGCATGCTGTGGAGGATTGTTTCGAACAGGAGTCAGCAACCCATTGACAGATCTGGCCTGCAGAGCTGTTTGATCCAGCCCAGAGCCAAGGGGCTTCTGCAGCATTTCGGCAGCAGGGGCTTTACCCAAGCAGTAGGTAGAAAGTAGCAGCTGCATTGCAGTGGCTCCAACTCTAACAGCAGCAGTGCAGGCTGGGTGAGAAGTGGTGCGTGCTTAGAGCTGGGTACAGTTAGAGCGGCCCCCTGCTGGAAAACCTGCCAACCCCTGTTTTGCAGCATATCGTTTTTAAGGGGTTGGTATGTCCTGTGCATAGTTTGGCAGTCCAGAGCAGGGGTGGTCAAAAAATGGCCTGGAGGCTGGATCCTGCCCACCGAGGGATTTTGTCCAGGTGTGTGACAGGACAGGAGCAGCACAGTGGCCAGACTTGCTTCCTGGCAACCCCCATGGCAGCGGCTTGCTCTGCTCGGCTGACAGTGTCCACCACCACCATCAAACCCTGTCCTGCTACCCAAGCATCCTGGCTTGTCTGCCTTGCACCCACCACTGGAGACCCTGAATATAGAGCAGGTCGGTGGGCAGGTCTCCATGGAGACTGACCCGGGACTCCCATGGTCAGGGCACGCTTGGCCAGATGGATGGGATGAGGCTGTGGGTGGGCATGGGGCAGCATCCAGGAGTGGAATAGACAGACAAGATCGGGATTGTGAGGCGGCAACACTATGGGGTCCAGGCCCAGGGCAGAGCCACAATCCATTCCTTGCATGTCCCTGTCCACAGAACCAGTGCCTATTGCAGAGGCGTGCAAGGAATGGATTGCCCCGCCTGCCCATCCTGCTTCTGGACACTGCTTTCCTCACCACCACCCACTGCCCCATCACATCCATCTGGCTGAGCACACCCTGCCTGTGGGAAGCCCAGACCTGTCTCAGTGGAGACCCTTCCCACCCACTCCATCCAGCACCCCCAGCAGTGGGTGGGGCAGATGTCCCAGGGCCAGATAGGATCAGTTGCCACCACCCCTGCCCCGCTTTAGGCACTCCATTAAGGAAGTGGCCTGTAAGCGGGGATTTCTTCATTTAAGAACCATAAAGACTTTACAGCTTATGAGAACACAAAACTAAGTCTGCGAGTGATAGGGCTTGCTATGCTGCCAGGCAAATTGGGTATTTGCAGATGCAATGCCAGTTAGGATTATTAACAGGTCATGTAACATACCACTTATAACTTACTTCACAGGTGAACCTCATGTAGATGGGGAGCCAGGTGACTTGCGTTTCCGCATAAAAGTTCTCAAGTAAGTAACCTCCACTAAATCACTTCATTTCACTTCTTTAGATTATTAAGAGGAAGCTTGAGAGTGACTCTCCTATCAATGATGGCAGTTCAGATGTCATGTACATAACCTAAAGTCAGTGAGTGAGATCAGAGAGCCAGTCATCTAACCGTTTTGGCAGAGGACTGGAGTCAGGGCTGTGCAGTGACTCAAGTGCTGTGGGTATCGAGAAACTATTGCCTAGAAGCTAATCGGATATTTTCCTTTTTTTGTTTTGTTTGGCCCAGTATTTGGGAGTGAGTTGGTAGATGCTAGCTGAGTCTCATGGAATGGTTGGATACGCCTTTCCTCCTCTAGCTTCATGCAATGAAATATACCTCCTTATTACAAGAGAAAGTTGTTGGATGAGTCATATATATGACACGCCTTGGCACTCCGTGTCCCAGGAACTGAAAGCTCCTTAGTAATGCACATATTGAGTGCAGGAAAAGGAAGCCATGTCTGTGAATGCATGTCTTATCCACCCTTCTGTGAGTTGTGAGCTTTCCACACTTATTCACAAATTGAGGGGGGTGAGCTAGACGCCCCGACTCTTGTAGGAGAGAGGCACGAAGCTGAAGTTGCTATGTTTTATTCACAGACACCCAGTCTTCGAAAGAAGAGGAGATGACTTATATACAAATGTGACTATCTCGCTGGTCGAGGCATTGGTAGGCTTTGAAATGGATATCGCACATTTAGATGGGCACAAGGTGAGGCAACGGTTTACTCTCGTTCACTAGGAGCAGAATCTTAGTGACGAGTTCCTCAAGCCCCACAAGGATTTGTCCAGTGCTGCAGTTCCATCTGTTGACCATGTACAGTCTTGTCTCAGTGCTAGAGATAAAAATGCCTATTTTGATTTATTTGGAAGCTGCAAGTGAGGAAAATCCACGATTAGCTGGAAGGGGCAGCTCTGGCAAGTGGTGTCTTAAAATTTGTCAGTGTTACAATATGTCCTGGAAGTGATGCTCTCTTGGTCCCTGTGCATGCTGTTGGCTCTGTGGAGAATTTGTATTGAGTGTGGAGTGGAGTTTAAGAAATCAGGAGTTGTTCTGAACCATTTTTTTTTTTTTTTTTTTTTTTTTTAAAGATATTTTTGCCTTCCAGGTTCATGTTGCTCGGGATAAAATCACAAAACCTGGGGCCAAGCTGTGGAAGAAAGGAGAAGGTCTTCCAAATTTTGATAACAACAACATCAAAGGCTCACTAATAATAACCTTTGATGTAGAATTCCCCAAAGAGCAGCTAACAGACGAACAACGGGAAGGTATGTGCAATGTTGTGTCAGAGAGTCATGCCCAATAAGACTTGGATCATATAACTAAGATCATGGCCTGCAGTACTCGGGGAGGAATTCTCCCTTTCTCTGCACATGTGGACAACACAGTTGGCTTGGTATCTGAAGAAGTGCTTCTTGTCTCAGCTGCAGTTGGAAAGATACTGGATGAGATTTAGGTGTACTATTGATCTGATACTTGTATGGCAGTTGGCAAGTCTGAAACTGCTTTGTAGTGCTCATCTATGTACAATGTGGCGGGCTAAGACTGGACCTTGCTGTTACTAGAATGGGATCTCAGATGTAGTAATTTATTTTTGTGAGCCTTGTATAATGATAGGATCGGCAGGGTCCTCAAGGGTCATCTTAAGGGACTTCCTTTTCTTCTGTTTCTGCAAAGAGGTTTAGATTGGAACTGCCCTCCAAGACCAGTCAGTCTCCCCATAGCCCAGAGGTCCTTCAGGTGTTACCCCTCATCTCATTATGGCATTTGAAGTCAATGGTCTGGATTTCCAGGTCGTCCAAGGAAATGTCTCACTAAAGAGACGGGCAAGAGGCTCCAGTAGGGGCTATCACCAAAACTTCCAGGTTCCCCTTGCCCGTGTTAATGCTGTAGAAGCAGGGAGCATGAAAGTGAACTTAGAGTACCAGAATGACTTTGTCCAGACACACATTCATGGAATCATAGTAAAATGGGGCTGGGAGAGGAGCTGTTGGTATGGCAGCACCTTCTGAGGATGACACACCCAAGTTTAGTTCCCACTTCAGCCTTAGAAGTTTTAAATGCACTTTTCCTACCACCCAGAAAAATGCCCTTATCTCACTAGGCAAGAGGTTTATTCTCTGCCCTTCCAGCTGAAACTGTTCTTCTGCACAATGAAGAATGTAAAACTCATTGGACCAAAAAGAGAGCAAAATGGGAGCACGAAACCTGAGGAGGCAGGGAGCACGTTGGTACTGTGTCACTTGGTCCCTCCACCAAGACCTTTGGATCTGACCCTGGGTGCTGCGGCAGTTCTGCTGATCTCATGTCAGGAAGCTGATTTCTAATCTCAGGATTCTGTCGGAGTATCTTCAGGAAAGCAAAATGACACATGCTTTGTCTGCTCCATCCTACCCCCACCCATGTTTTGCAACCTAGGCCCTTAGGAAGAAGAGGTGAAAGTCTGTTTGTCTTTCCTTTAACACAGTGACCCATTTAGGTGGAAGATTGCATTTTCAGTGCTGGCTCATACTTCTGTCCCTTATGCCATCATAGCTGATATTTCACTATCAGATAAGAAGTGGAAACTATGTCAGAGTACAACTTCATGTTAATCTATTAAGTATGTATAAATGACTGTACTAAGAATGGTATCTTATTTACATTTTTTTAAAAGGAAACAGACTCTATCACTTCTTTCCTGGTGAAGTGACTTATTTCCAGGAGCCAGAGCATACCCTGGATTCAACTATCTTCCCAGCCAGTAGGGTAAAGGAATGGTATATTGGGTAGTGCACATGGGAGAAAATGAAGCATCTCCTCAACTGCCTCCTTTGTCCTTACCTGCAGTGTTGTGAAGTCTAGAGCATAGGTTACTGTTTCATTGGGTCTCTTGGCCTTTTTCTTATTTAGTCTGTTACCTGTAGTCCAGCAGAATATTATGACAGCATATAACCTCACTTCACCAGAATTAAGGTAATATTTCAGCCCAACTGAAACAGAGGTGCAGCAGTTTGAACTGTTCAGTGAGGTTATATTGTTTAAATGTACCAGGTGCCACCTGGGGCTTGGGCAATGGAGACTTTCCAAATGCCTCTTGTATCCTCAGGGCAAATAGGTAAAGGGGGTCTGTGGCCCATGTTAACTCTTCTCCTTTTTCTTTTGCAGGTCTGCAACAGTTATTGAAACAAGGATCGGTGCAGAAGGTGTACAATGGACTGCAGGGATATTAACATGGGGACAAACTGGACTTGATTGAAAATGAAAAATGAAACCAGTGATATTTATCTGCAGTCTTTCTTGCTGCCTATTGTGGAATGAAGAAGAGGGGGGAGGGTAGAGTAAACAAGTCGTATTTTTTTGTAAATGGTGCAAGTGCTCAGATGGTTTATGGAAAACATGGCCCTTTGCAGGATATAACTGGTGCTGCCTATAGAGTTCCTTCCATGTACTGGAGCAGAGAGGAGGCTCCCTGTGCAGAAAAATGTTGGGGAGGGGGTTTTAAATTTAGTGCATATTGGAAGTTCTGGTTTTTAAATATATTTTGATGTTACTTTTTTGACCCTCTCAAAGTATCTTTGTAGTTTCTTCTGCCTCTTGTGTCCCTCCTGCTAATCTTCCCTGACTACTTAGTCTCTCTTCTGCCTACCTCTCTCTCCCCATCCCTGTATAATATAACCTAGTTGGTTATATTATGGAGCAGGAGCTAATTTATTCTTAGAAATGAACTGAATGAGAGCCTGTAAGAACTACAGGTGACTGCTGTTGCTGCAGAGACCTTGGCCCTGTATATCAATCCTATCCTAATTCTCAGATAATTCTTAAGCTCTCAGTATTCACACTTTCTTCAAATGCTGTAAAGACCAAACTCAATTTCAAACTGGGAATGAGCCATCTTCACCCATCCTCTGCTGTACATGACCCTGCAAAATGGCTCAACAGACTCCTTCTGTGACCAGTATGGAAACATTTGCCCACCACCTTGTTCACAAATGCTTGGCTGGAACAATTTGTGTATCTCCTGCCTTTCATCCTCCATGAGACCAGGCACAGCTGGTACCACTGAAATAGTTAATGAAAGTGTGTGGCAAACTGGTTGTGTATTAAAACTACAGTGGAGGCATTTCTCCTGGAAGCAACTGTTTTCTGAAGAAGGCTCAGTTGTAATGAAAATAAGCTTGTGCCTCTGAGCTGTAATCCCACATGGCAGTTAGTATTAGCCAAAAGCCTTGCAGCCTCTTTCACCTCTTTCAGAGGAAGAGGTCTCTTTTTCTGGGAAAGGCTTCTCTTTTCCCTTCCTGTGCTCACTGAGGAGGAAGTGGAGGCTCTTTTGACTCGGTTTGGATGTCTTGGTAGGTCTGCCTTCATGTACTCTTCATTGCACTTAGGAAGAAGGAGTTGGAAAAAGCCATGAGGCAGACCTGAGCACACCCGTGGGAAAGTTTGTTCTGTGGTACTTCATTACAGGCATGTAACCAGGGTGCATGGGTAAGAGAAATTACAATGAGTCTTTCCCATGTGTGGGTAACAACTCTTCTTTCTACTCAGGAGCTAGTGCTGTTTGTCTGACACCAACAGGCTACCAAACTAGTTGGGATCCGCAAAGAGAGGTCCAGTTAGGCTTTTCTCCTTCCAGTTCCCTTTCAGGTGTGCTGGTTTGGCCTAGCCAGCCACTTCCATTCAAACAACATTGCTGAGGGTGTCTAGCTGCTCATGCCGTCAGCCTGTCAGTTCCATGGATGATCCAAAGGGTTGTGGTTCTGTATTAATATGGTAGTATCTGATGCACCACTTTGTTGCACAGCTATAACACCCATATAGTAAGGCTTTAAAGCTGCCCAGTTCAACCTTGCCCTCAACATGAACAGTCATCACCATCTCTTGCTTTGGTAGAGATGCTTTAAAAATGAGAAGACATTGTTCCTACCCCAACTTCAAGGGGCATGTAATATACTGGGGGCTGCAGCAAAGCTGTAGCTCTGTGAAGCTGGCAGCGTGTCTGTGAGGCTGTGTAAACTAGGGGCTGATGCTGTCATTTCTGCAGTGTTTGGTTCAAGCCTGTGGTAAGACACCTTTGTGTATATGAGACAAAAATTAAATATAGCAAGCCAAGATGTGAGAGGAAATGGAAAGGAACAAATTATGCAGTTTTATGCTTCTCCATTTTTCTTATCTTGGACAAAAGGCTTTCTGTGAAACTTTTTTTCAAGCCTTAATAATTAAAAACAATCCACATCCTGTTACTGTTTGGGGGCTGGACTCGATGATCTTCCGAGGTCCCTTCTAGCCCTAATGTCTATGAAATACTATCAGGAAATCTTCCTGGAGGCTGAAATTTTCTTCCTCTGGACCAGTGAACAAGCATTAAAAGGACACCTCATTTACCCAGAAGCAGCCCCTTTTCATGAGGATGTTTGGGGTGGTCCTTCAAGGCTCTCCCAGTGGGAACGAACAGACAGGTTTTGTCCACTAATAGCTCTGCCTGAGTTGATGCTAATGTCCATTTCTGCACTGAGTCGATGTCTCTCTAACTGAGACTTTGCCTCAGGATTTTTCATTATTCTGCAAGGAAACCTGTCTCCATGTGCCAGTTTGCCTTTGTCCCCAGTGTGACTTGCTTTTCATGATACTGCAGACCCATTTCTCGTTCCAGGCAGTGCTCTTTGACGTCTCTCTTTTTTTTTTTTTTTTTTTCTTGCCAGTTCCATCGTGTCTGCAGTGGTCTGTCCATGACAAGGTGGATGCATGATGTTCAGCAGTCAGAGACAAGCAGTTGGACAGTGATTTATTTCATTTCCTATGAGTGTTAACTCGCTGTGTGACAGTGACATTCTCCAGCACAACCACCAGTTCCAACAGAGCTTGCTGTTAGATGACCTGTTGATGGTCCATCCATTCAAATAAGAGTTTTATTTCAACTGTTTTCTGAGAAGCTCCCTTAGTATCTCTAAGGATCTGGCTTGCCCCATCACTGTTCTGGTTTTAGTCTGGTTGCCTAAGGAAAGATTTTGTAAGTTGCGTCTCATTTAGAAATTTCTCGGGTATTGACCAGGGGCACTAATCTATGTGACCATGGTGGGATGTGCAAGCTGTTTCATACTGCCCTGTGTCTTGTTCTAGTGAAGTTTTACCTTCTGGAGTATGAATATTCGGTAAGCCTCCTGGACTTTCCAGTCCAGTCTACCACAAACCTGGCCTTTTCAATGGATTCAAAGGACTTGATCTTTGCTGGCAAAAGGAGAAAAATCACAGTGTCTCAGCTATGGACCTGTTGGAGCTCCTTGTAAATGGATTTGGACCTGATCAAGAGCCCTACTTTGTTGAAGGTTCAAGTCTCAGTTTTGGGAGACTTGTAACATTTTTTCCCTTTCTTGTTGCCTTCTCATATTTCGTAACTCCTGAAAGCTGCTTCACTCCAGAGATGCTGTCAGGAAACCAGTAGAAAGTGGTACAGAGGGAGAATCCCTGAATCTCCTTATCTCAAATATGTGCAGGAGTCTTCCCCATATCTTGTTTTCCTGTTAGCAGTTGCATTGGCCAGAAGTGTTAGCCAGTTCAGGAGCCTTATCCAGCAGCAATCCTGTAAGCATTTTTTTTTTTCCCCTCAGAAGAAGTGAACTTTAGACTTGCACCAAGCCATCCCTATTACCTGTTCTCAGGTGGATACATTCAGTAGCTGGTCAGGCCTAGGGATTGTTCGTAACAGCTCTGCTTCCTGTGAGCACTCATCTAGTGATGCAGGATTGGAATAGACGTCACATCCAGTCCCCTGAGTTTGCAGGCAGTTGCTCCACTACGTGGTCATTTTGCAGGCAGAGCTGCACAGTGCTACTTTTGAGTGCCATGGACCATTACTCCTCATCAGTAGGCTTTAGTAGGCTTTATCTCCCACTTCATAGCATGCATATGGTTCTGGTTGATTTTTCTCTCTCTCTCTCTCTCTTGTTTTTTCCTTCATTAAACCCCTTTGTATGGTAGAGAAGGAGAAAAAGAAAAGTAAGCAAAGCTGCACTCAAAGCAGAGTTAGTTGTTTCTTGGCCTGGTGCTCTATTTTAATTTTCCTTCCTTTTTTGTGGAGGTTGGCTGCATCCCTGCTGCAATGGAGTTGGGAGTGGGAGGGAGAACAGGGCTTGTTTCCACGACTGCATTCTTTCTGTGTGCCAGTGTTGTTTCATGAGCTCCAGCCCAGGGCCTCAAAGCAAATTGTGGTAACTTCCAAGCAGAGGTGGAAACCTCCTTCCTTTCTCCCTTCCAGAGTGCTCCTGGGGACGGAGGGAGATCTAGGATCCCTTCACATTGGGCTCTGCGCTTAATGTAAATCTGCATTTTTATTATGTATAATTCATGCTGTAGGAGATCACAGATGCCTGCTTCCTGCTTTGCACGCCCCACTTGATCTCCTGCTCTGCTTCCTGCCTTTCCTGCCTTATCTGCCCCACACATGCGCACGTGCACTACCCATGCCAGTTGTGGTATGTGGACCGCCTCTGTTCCACAGCGAGGTTTTGAAAAGGAACGTGGTTGTCCAAGATGCATGGATTCAGGGAGCAGATTTGTCATCTTTTTGGCAAGCAGGGTGAAAGCAAAGGCAGCAGTCCTGTAGGGACTTTGAATGACAGTTCCACAATCTAATAGGAAATAGTACCCACTTTAAGCCATGTATCGAGACGCCAGAGTCGATATAGCCTGAATGGCTGTGAAGCCCACACAGAGCACTGTCTTGTAACTTGCCCAAATTCGGTCTGATGTTAAAAGCTATTTCTGCGTGCAGGCCGCGACCTGCCAGCAGGTCATGTCCAGTAGCACGGGAAAAGCTGCTGCCGCCTGTGCTTGCGCAGAACAAAGGGGTCAGTGTTTTGTGGCTGATGAGGACCTGAGTGACCAGGAGGAGGGAGGTGCCAGTGTGGGGGTGAGCTGCTAGCTGCTCAGCACTGATGTATGTCTGCTGGGCCAAGCCTTGGCTTCCTGCTCAGAGCTCAACACCACCCTCAACACAGATATTGGCCACCAGCCAGCTTCCTTCCTCTCCCCATCCTGCACTTGTCACTGAAGCTGGCTCTGAGGAAGACCTGCTGAAGGCTGGGAAGCAAGAACACATTAGTGGCTCATGCAACTCCCTGCTCCTTAGCAGGGGCCCCTTTGACATTGCAGTGCAGCAAGGTATTGCACCCTTGCAGTGCCCTGCCCATGAGCTGGGCTCCAGGGTGCACTCTGGCCACTGGAGCTGGGATTGAAGTCTGTCCAGTAGATTTTTAGGGGTGATTGTGCAGCAGAAAAGGATCTAGGCATTCTAGTGGATCACAAACAATAAAAGCCAATAAGGCAATCTGTTGCCAGGTGGGCAACTCTTGGGGTGTCAATAAGAGCGATGCATGTAAACTTTAATTACTCTCCTCTGCTTCACACTGAAGTCTCAGTTGGAGGCCTGTGTCTGGTTCACCATATTGAAAGACATAGACAAATGAAGAGTCCAGAAGGGAGCAGAAAAGAGACAGAGGGTAGGAAATGTGACCTATAAGGGAACATTAAAAGACTGGGTTGGGTTTTTTTATTTTTGGGGTGGTGGTTTTTTTTTTTGGGG